ATACAGGTGACCCACAGAGGTATCCCTAGTGTACTGAGAAATATTTAATCTCCAAAGGCTCCAAAAATCTTCATAAATCTTCATGTAATGAAAATAGAAAAAGGTTAAAAAGGTTATCATCTTGTGTTAATGCGTGTTTTGTGTTGTATTGCTCTGTATTACAGGGTGAGCACAGGGTGAACTCTCTGCTCCTTGCTGTGACACCTGGGCTGGCAGGGATGACACAGTGACCTCGGCCGGCCGATGCTGCCTGTGCCATCACCTGGCACTGACGTGTTTGATGAAAATCCTTTGGCTGGGATTTTTCTCCTGAGAAGCCTCAGAACAGAAATGGAACCAATAAGGATCTGCTGGCTGTGGAGTGTGGGCTGGAGGTGGTTTAGCAACAAGAGCATCTTGGATTGGTCTCCTGTGCATTGTTTCTACTTGATGACCAATCATGGTCCAGCTGTGTCGGGGCTGTGAGCAGTCCCAGGTTTTTATTATTCATTCCTTTCCAGCTTTCTGATGTCTCCTTGCTCTTTTAGTATAGTTCTAATATCTCATTTTCTTTTCAGATAATAGAGATCATAAAATAATAAATCAGCCTGCTGAAAGGTGGAGTCAAGATTCTCATCTCTTCCCTCGTCCTGGGGACCCTCAAACACCACCACAATCACCGGCCTGAGCTTTAAAAATAGAAAAATTAAAACTAAATTAAATAAAAAAATAAAATTAAAAAAATAAAATAAAAAGCTTTAAAAATACAAAAATTAAATAAAAAATAAAATTAAAGAATAAAAAGCGTTAAAAATAGAAAATTTAAAACTAAAAATAAAATAAAAAATAAAATTAAAAAATAAAATAAATGCTTTCAAAAGAGAAAAATTAAAACTAAAAATTAATTAAAAATAAAATTTAAAAATAAAAATATTTAAAAAGAGAAAAATTTAAAAAATAAATCAAGTAAAAAATAAAATTGAAAAAAAAATCAAAAGCTATAAAAGGGAAAAATGAAAAAATAAATTAAATAAAAAATAAAATAAAAAAGAAAAAGCTTTAAAAATAGAAAAATTAAAACTAAAAATAAAATTAAAAATAATATAAAAAAAAACTTTAAAGAGAAAAATTTAAAAAATAAATTAAAAAAATTAAAAATTAAATAAAAAGCTTTAAAAAGAGAAAAATTAAAAAATAAATTAAATGAAAAATAAAATTAAAAAATTAAATAAAAAGCTACAAAAGGGAAAAATGAAAAAAATAAATTAAAAAATAAAATTAAAAAATAAAAAGCTTTAAAAATAGAAAAATTAAGACTAAAAATAAAATAAAAAAATAAAATTAAAAAAATAAAATAAATGCTTTAAAAAGAGAAAAATTAAAACTAAAAATTAAAAAAATAAAATTAAAAAAATGAAATAAAAAGCTTTAAAAAGAGAAAAATGAAAAAAATAAATTAAATAAAAAATAAAATTAAAAAATAAAATAAAAAGCTTTAAAAAGAGAAAAATGAAAAAAAATAAATTAAATAAAAAATAAAATTAAAAAATTAAATAAAAAGCTTTAAAAAAAGAAAAATGAAAAAAATAAATTAAATGAAAAATAAAATTAAAAAATAAAATAAAAAGCTTTAAAAAGAGAAAAATGAAAAAATAAATTAAATAAAAAATAAAATAAAAAATAAAAAGCTTTAAAAATAGAAAACTTAAAACTAAAAATAAAATTAAAAATAAAATTAAAAAAAACTTTAAAGAGAAAAATTTTAAAAATAAATAAAAAAATAAAAGTAAAAATTAAATAAAAAGCTTTAAAAAGAGAAAAATTAAAAAATAAATTAAATTTTAAAAAAATTAAAAAATTAAATAAAAAGCTACAAAAGGGAAAAATGAGAAAAATAAATTAAAAAATAAAATTAAAAAATAAAAAGCTTTAAAAATAGAAAAATTAAGACTAAAAATAAAATAAAAAATAAAATTAATAAAATAAAATAAATGCTTTAAAAAGAGAAAAATTAAAACTAAAAATTAAAAAAAAATAAAAAGCTTTAAAAAGAGAAAAATGAAAAAAATAAATTAAATAAAAAATAAAATTAAAAAATTAAATAAAAAGCTTTAAAAAAAGAAAAATGAAAAAAATAAATTAAATAAAAAATAAAATTAAAAAAATTAAATAAAAAGCTTTAAAAAGAGAAAAATTAAAAAATAAATAAAAAACAAAAAAATACAAAGCTTTAAAAATAGAAAAATTAAAACTAACTAAAAATAAAATAAAAAATAAAATTAATAAAATAAAATAAATGCTTTGAAAAGAGTAAAATTAAAACTAAAAATTAATTTAAAAATAAAATTTAAAAACATTAATTAAAAATAAATGAAAAACAAAAAAAAAACCTGTAAAGTACCGTAAAAGTTCCATAAAAGTACTGCCGTAAAGCAGAACTGTCGTAAAAGGCGACGTAAAGCGCGACTGTCGTAAAAGGCGCCGTAAAGCGCGACTGTCGTAAAAGGTGCCGTAAAGCAAAACTGTCGTAAAAGGTGCCGTAAAGCAGAACTGTCGTAAAAGGTGCCGTAAAGCGCGACTGTCGCAAAAGGCGCCGTAAAGCAGAACTGTCGTAAAAGGTGCCGTAAAGTGCGACTGTCGCAAAAGGTGCCGTAAAGTGCGACTGTCGCAAAAGGTGCCGTAAAGCGCGACTGTCGTAAAAGGTGCCGTAAAGCAGAACTGTCGTAAAAGGTGCCGTAAAGCAGAACTGTCGTAAAAGGTGCCGTAAAGTGCGACTGTCGCAAAAGGTGCCGTAAAGCGCGACTGTCGTAAAAGGTGCCGTAAAGCAGAACTGTCGTAAAAGGTGCCGTAAAGTGCGACTGTCGCAAAAGGTGCCGTAAAGCGCGACTGTCGTAAAAGGTGCCGTAAAGCAGAACTGTCGTAAAAGGTGCCGTAAAGCAGAACTGTCGTAAAAGGTGCCGTAAAGTGCGACTGTCGCAAAAGGTGCCGTAAAGCGCGACTGTCGTAAAAGGTGCCGTAAAGCAGAACTGTCGTAAAAGGTGCCGTAAAGCGCGACTGTCGTAAAAGCTGCCGTAAAGCGCGACTGTCGTAAAAGCTGCCGTAAAGCAGAGCTGTCGTAAAAGGTGCCGTAAAGCGCGACTGTCGTAAAAGCTGCCGTAAAGCAGAACTGTCGTAAAAGGTGCCGTAAAGTGCGACTGTCGCAAAAGGTGCCGTAAAGCGCGACTGTCGTAAAAGGTGCCGTAAAGTGCGACTGTCGCAAAAGGTGCCGTAAAGCGCGACTGTCGTAAAAGGTGACGTAAAGCAGAACTGTCGTAAAAGGTGCCGTAAAGCGCGACTGTCGTAAAAGGTGCCGTAAAGCGCTACGGAGTCATAGTGCTGTAAGTTGAACTGTCGTAAAAGGGAGTTGTTCAGGCGTCTTCCCCAGTGACTTTCAGGACACAGTTTGCATAAAGCACTTTATTACTATCTCCTGCCAGGATCTGGCTGCCGAGGAGGTGGTCCCAGCTTGCAGGGCGCTGCTGGAGCTGTGTTAGCTGCACGGGGGATGCCTGCAGCAGCTGCCCTGTTGAGCTGTGCTCCTCCTGCGACTCCGCCCCTCTCCGCCACGAGTCTCCAGTGGGACACGCCCCCCACCTCCCCGTCGGACCCCGCGGTCCTGCTCGCCCCTGCCGCCCCACCCCCCGCCCTCGTGGCCCCTCCCACCGCTCCCACTATCCCCGCCTTTGCCACCCCGTTGGTTCCCGCTGTCCCGGCTACCGCGGGCCCCGCCCCTCAATCCCGCCTCTACGAGCCCGCCCACCAGCGTCACCGCGGCCCCGCCCCCCCCCGTTACCCGCGAGTGTGGCCGCTCCTGCCGCCCCCCACGTCCCCCTCGCCCCCTTTGCCGACACAGCGGGGCCGGCGGCGGCCCAAGTCCCGTTGCTGCTGCTCCGCCTCTGCAGTTCCCTGCGGCTCCCGGATCTGGCGTGGCCGCGCTGCGCCCCCAGCGCCCCCTGTGCGTGTTGCCGCGGGAGCCCGCCCCCCCCACCCTGGCGTTCCAAGCGCCTGCAGCGCACCCCGAGCTGCCCACGGGCGCCGTGGCAGGGCACACGCCCACGGCTGACCCTGTCCCTGCCGGCGTTGCGGCGCAATCCCCCGGCCCCGGCACAGCACCGCTTGCGCTGCGACCGGGGCGCCCCAGCCCGCCGAGCCACCCCGTGCCGGAGCCGCGGCGTCTGCACCGGTGGCTGCAGCCTCTGCCGTGCCGCCGCGGCTCCACCCCAGCTTCCCGTCAGCGCCGCCTCTGCCCGCCGGGCGGGCAGCCAGCCCAGCCCCCAGCGGCTGCACGCCGCCCCTCCCGCCACCCCGGGATCATCTCCCGCTGACGAGGCCGCCCCGCTGCTGTCCGTGGTCGCTTCCCCGCTCCTGCCGCTGCCGCTGCATGGCCGGCCGAGCCGTGCCTTCCTCCCCGCAGCCTCTCGCTTCAGAGCTGCTGGATGGCGCAGCTCCGCCGCCTCCTGCAACCACGGCTGTCCCGGCGTTCCCGGCCACGGCCGCGGCTCCATTCCCGCAGTTCCGCGGGCGCCCGCCACGCCGCCGAGCGCCGTGATAACCTAGCACCCCCACCTGCGCCTGCGCCGTTGCTACAAGCCCCGCACCAGCGATATCGCTCCGCGCCGTTTCATCCAACCACAGCGCTGCTTCCGGGATCAGCCGCACGCATGCGCAGTTCTATCACGCGGCCCCGCCGCGGTCCCGCCGCGGCCCCGCCGCCGCCCCGCCTCGGCCCCGCCGCGGCCCCGCCGCCGCCCCGCCTCGGCCCCGCGCCGCCCCGCCGCGGCCCCGCCGCCGCCCCGCCTCGGCCCCGCCGCCGCCCCGCCTCGGCCCCGCCGCCGCCCCGCCGCGGCCCCGCGCCGCCCCGCCGCCGCCCCGCCTCGGCCCCGCCGCCGCCCCGCCTCGGCCCCGCCGCCGCCCCCGCCGCCGCCCCCCCCGCCGCCCCGCCTCGGCCCCGCCGCGGCCCCGCCGCCGCCCCCCCGCGCTGCTTTCGCCGCAGTTTTGGCACAGCCCGGTCTCGGTTCCGAGCCGCTGGGTGCCGCTGTCCGACCACAGCCGGCATCCCCGTGCCCTGGCACGCCGCTTCCGCCGCCACCGGGTCCGTACACGGCAGCACAGCAGGCGAAAACGGCAGCGCCTTGCATGTATCCTTCCGCGTCTCTCCGTCTGCCGGAACTTGAGGAGCCGGGACATCACCGAGAGATTTTTTCCCACCGCGGTGCGTAACCCTGCACAACCGACCCCTGGTGTCCCTCCGGGTTGTCGCCTTCCGCACTCCTAGCACCGAGTGTGACTACTTTGTGTCACTATTCGTCTGCACAGCCACGCACACAAAGCGTGCAACGAGGGGGGGGGGGGGCTGGAATACGACAGCTGCTTTAATAAATACAAGACAGACAGAGAATTATTTTGCCCCTGCAAATGCCAACCCTTTGATCCCAACACAAAAGAATTTCGAAAAAGAACTGTTCCCAAATAGCTCCAGAGTCCCCCCAGTGTTTGGGACAGATTTCTCGACCCAAAAAGAGACACTAAATCCTGGAAATTCGCCAGCATTAATCCCAAATTAGAAAACTCACAAATACCATGGCTTTTACATGGTTCTACCAATTACTGAGCAATTACATGTAACCTAGATCTGGAAGACACACGGCAGCCTTGTAATGTATTCCTCTCTCCTAGACAAGAAGAAGGCAGTTAATAGAAAACACTCTCTTTTTTTTATTATTATTTTAAACTATAAACCCCTCCACAATATTCCTGTGTGACATTATTAAAACTCCACGTCGATATCAAACCCAAAGCAAAGGCTGCCATCCCATTAACACAACAGTTGTGGATGATCAATAAAAATTTACTTTAAACTGCACCATATGTTGCTCCCCACAAAGTTTTATTATTCAGATTCATCAGTTTGTACCTCAACCCCCGTGCAATTAAATCCCATTTAGCAGCACTGACCTTCTGATTTGAACCCTTCATTCCTGCAGCTGGTTTGGAGTTTTAACAGCACTTTTAAATAAGGAAAATGCAAAATATCTGGGACTTAATGGAGGGGTGGGGGGGGCATTCCATGGGGCAATCCCTCCTGTGCTGGAGCAGGGAGGGGGAAAAAAATAAAGGGAAAAAAAGCCCCAAAGAGTGCCAGCCCATTTTCCCGTGTTGTAGCCTAATTGTAAACATCGTTAATCATGGATTAGCAGATGGTGATGTTAATTGCACCTGTGGAAGTAACAAGACCTCAAGGTTGATTACATTTACAAACCGGGATCCGGAGGTGCCCGTGGGCAGCAATCCCAGCTCCAGTTCCTGCAGTATTCCCAGCTCCAGCAGCATTCCCAATCCCAGCTCCTGCAGCATTCCCAGTTCCTGCAGCATTCCCAGTTCCTGCAGCATTCCCAGCCCCAGCAGCATTCCCAGGCTGCTCCCTTCCCCTGCCACCAGCCTGCCCTTTGTAGAGGGAAAGGTGTCCCCTGTCCCAGAGCCATTCCAGCCTCCAAAACATCACTGGGACCCAGCAGTGAACTGAGGGGAAAGAGATTTCTCCAGTTGGATTGGGTGGAATGGGATTTCTCCAGCTGTTGGATTGGGTGGAATGGGATTTCTCCAGTGGTGGGGACACCCTGAGCACAAAAGGGAACCGTGGGGCAGGAGCTGAGCTGCTCTCCCAGCCAGAGCTGCCCAGGGTGGATTTTGGGAGATGGGAGATTTTGGGGTTCTCCCCTGGCTGAGATAAGGCAGGGCTGGTGCCGAACTCACCCTGTGAATGAAGGAGGACAAATATTTTGCCACTGTGCTTAGAGACACTTTGATTATTGAGAAATCATTCTGGAAGGGCAATTAGTAAATTTTAAAATCAATTTGGTAAATAAGCCTCTGAAAGGAATCCATGACAAGCAGCAGGGAGGGAAGAATTGACTTTCAAATTACACACACATACACTTTATTCATATCTAAATATCAAAGAGACTCTATGTACAAACAGAAGTAATCAGGAAACGTGTTTTGATCTTGCTGATGTACACAAAAAATGACAATTAATGTCCCCCTTTATGATATAAAGCTGGGAGTTTTTTACAGTTACATTATTATAGTCAAGCTTAGGGCTAAAAATAATGAAAGACTATAAAAACTACATTTTAACATTTAAAAATATCCAGGAAATTAACTGGAGAAGCAGGCAATGATCCAATTAATGGATTGCATTTATTAGATCAGGGGCAAATGGCACAGCACAAAGCTCCAGCACCAAAGGTGGGAGAGTGCAGAGGTCCCCATGCTCCTCAGAGCCTCAGGATGGGGCTGGGGCAGGAGGACAAAGCATCAGCTCCATCCAAAAGTCACTGCAGGTGGGGAAAATGGGGCTAAAACTTACCAGAGAGGGAAATGGGATCAGAGGGAACAGCAGAGCCATCCAGAGTGGGATTCAGTGCCCTCACAAGCAGCACAGTCTGAGCTGCAGCCCGAGTTATGCACTCAAATCCTAAAATTCAAGCTCAAGCAACTCCCCAAAAGCCTTGTCTGATGCCCCAGTGCCAAAGCAAGGAGCTCCATGGCACCAGCACAGGGTTCTCCAGCTCCCTGTGGGTTTGGGTCACACGGCCCTGGTTGTGTGATGGTGTCACTTCAGAGGGATTGGGGATTTGTCCTTTTCCTCAGGCACCCTCCTCTCCATCCCAGCCACAGAAGGGAGCCCTGGACACCTTTCAGGAGCTCCATGCCCTGTCCCAGACACCTGGAGTGTCCCCAGTGCCAGCAGGGACACCCAGGGAACACCCCCACACCCACAGAGCAGGGTTTACAGACTTCATTTAGCTCCAAGGAAAGTCCTAATTAGTCACTCCGAGTGATTTACTTATTCATTTGGAAGTGGGGAGGGGGCAGACTGAACGGAATTGTTTGAAATGATCCCTAAAGGGCACTGTAAATTAAGTGTTAATAAGGAATCCTATGCAAAGGGCCACGGTAGCTAAATAAAATAATTAAGGTGCTAAGTGATAACATTCTTTTGGCTCTCAATAATTTAGCCAGCCTGGTTTTTCAAGCAGGACAGCTGCAAATGAAGCCACCCCAGTGGCACCAGCAGGACAGGGGTCCTGGGGCACCTCAGCCTCCAGCAGGATCAGCCCAGCTTGGAAAGGAAACTTCCCCAGAAGGAAACGAGCTCCAGATGCCTCTTCCCACCTGAAGGACTAATCACACTCTGGATTTACATGACACAAAATGGATTCATTTTAGTCTACAACCAATCTTTACAAAAGCTTTATTTCCACGGGCTCCATTTCCCCCCCCCACTCCAGATGTTTGCCAGCCCTTGGCAGGGCTGCACACCTGGTTTACAACAAATACAGAAAATCCAGCCCCAGAGGTTCCCAGGCACAGCTGGCACTCAGCAGTGCTGCCCAGGGGGAGGGCACAGGGCTCTTTCACCCACAGCCCAAACTGTCCCCAGAGTTCAAGTGATGCACAAAGTCCCCAGTGCACGGGTGCTGGCAGCCATCCCTGGGTGTGCTCCTGCCAAAAGTGGCTGCTCCCAGACCTGAGTCCCTTCCCACAGCTGCTCCTCCCAGGTGTTACCTACGACACCAGGGGCCTGGTGGCTTCTGCAGCAGCCAAAATGCAGCTCAGGTCTCTGGGGCTCTCCCTGGAAGTCACAGTGATGGTGGAGACCCTGGGAAGAGCATTTCCATATCCACACTGAGCAGCTTCCCCCACCACATAAAGAGGATTTCAATCTCCATGCCTCTGTTTCTGGCTGCAGATGGAGTGCAGGAGGATACCTGTAGGAAAACAAATGTAAATAAATATTAAGGGATTTTATTTTTATTTTTTTTTCCAAACCACAAGAAAATCATTCAGTGGCCTGGATGTTAAATGCAGAAGCTGTGGGTTTGGTGCCTGGTGCCCAGACCTGCTCTCACCTGCAGCCACGGAGACGTTGAGGGAGTCGATGCCGGGGTGCAGCGCCCTGCCCGGGGGGATGGCCAACATCTGCTGGCACTGCAGCTGGGTCTGCAGGGAAAGGCCCTGCCCTTCACTGCCTGAGGACACAACACACACACTGCTCAGCCCAGCCCAGCCCAGCCCTGCCACCTCCCTGCCCCTCCCCAGGGCACTTCCTGGGGGTGCTGTGTCTCTGTGACACTCTCGCCAGGCTCAGCAGCTCCCACACAGCAACTGAGCCCCTGCACCTTCCTCCCTGCCCTCCCAGTGTAGCCCCACATTTCACAGAGAAAAGCAAGGGACAGTTCTTCCCAAGAATATTGCTGGGTTTCACAATCTCTGACCATCAGAGGAAGAAAACATAATTCTTATCATTTTCTGTGCCTGTGTTTGTGCCAAGGCAGAATGCAACGTGGGGATTGTTTACCCACAGTGATGGGGTTTTGGTTCCTTGGCCTGTCAGGGCCAGGTGTGTGTGTGTGTCAGGACTGTCACTGACAGTCACGAGATCAGTGCAGTGTGTGCAGGGTTGAGTGCTTGGCAGATTCAGTTTTAGATGTATAGAATAATATAGTGCAATAAAGTAATTAATTAGCCTTCTGATATCAATGCACTCCTCCTCCTCATTCCTCCTTTGTCTGGCCCTTCTCAGTGCAGCCACATCCCTGGATCTGCTCCCCAGCACCTGAGGAGGTTCTGAGGACTCTCCACACAACACATCTGCACAGAGATCCCATGGGGAGCACAGTGCCAGGAGAGAGCTCCCTGTGGGCCCTGGGACAAGGCAGCCAAGGGGCCAAGGCCAACTCTGCCCCAGCAAACCCCACATCCCCACTGCCAGGGACAGCAAACCCCACATCCCCACTGCCAGTGACAGGAAATCCCACATCCCCACTGCCAGGGACAGCAAACCCCACATCCCCACTGCCAGGGACAGCAAACCCCACATCCCCAATGACAGGGACAGCAAACCCCACATCCCCACTGCCAGTGACAGGAAATCCCATATCCCCACTGCCAGGGACAGCAAACCCCACATCCCCACTGCCAGGGACAGCAAACCCCACATCCCAATTGCCAGGACAGCAAACCCCACATCCCTACTGCCAGGGACAGCAAACCCCAGATCCCTACTGCCAGTGACAGGAAATCCCATATCCAAATTGCCAGTGACAGCAAACCCCACATCCCTGCTGCCAGGAACAGCAAACCCCACATCCCTGCTGCCAGTGACAGCTCCAGCCTTCCCAGCACACACATGCACACCCCCAAGGGCTGGGTGCAACTTGTGCATGCAGACAGTTTAACCAGAGGCTTCAATTGATTAGTTGTTAAACCAGGCAGCAGCCCTGATATGTTTGGGCTGATACACTGGTGAAACAGAGTTGAAATCTATCCCAGGTCATTAGTAGTTGTTTGACTCACACTGTCACAAAGGGAAATGGAAAGGGAGAGGCTTTAAACAATGCTGTGTGCAGACAGGTGAAAATACAGAGGGCTCTGGACCTCCCAGCCCGCCTGGCTCCCCAAAGAAATCTTTATTCTTGCTATTTAGAGCAGCACAGGCAGCTCCAGGGCTGCAAGGACGCCCAGCTCATCCCAAACACCTCTGGCAAACAGGCCCAGCACGTGGCACCTTCCAACAGCCATGCCCTGAGCTGGCTGAGCCCCACACCAGCGTGGGGTGGCACTGCCAGGGCCCCCTGATCCCCCTGACCACACAGGGATGGGAAGTGCCATCACTCCCAGGTGGGTTTTTATCCCTGACCACACAGGGATGGGAAGTGCCATCACTCCCAGGTGGGTTTTTAACCCTCACCACACAGGGCTGGGAAGTGCCATCACTCCCAGGTGGGTTTTTCCCTCATGTTTTATGGGCTGCACTTTGGGTAAGAGGAGGATGCTCTGGGTAAAGCATCCTGCACCACCTTCCCAGATGGAATCAGTCATGGCCAAAGGCCCGTGGCTGGGCTCAGTGAGCCCCCAGAAGCCCCAGCCCCACCCTGAGCAATCCTTCCCTCCTGCTGTAGCAGCCAGCAGTGCACACAAGGCCTGGGGGACTCGTCCAGGGTCACAGGGTGACACCAGCAATGAAAGCCAGGCCTGCCATGGCCCTGCCTGTCTCCTCACCACTACTCCAGGGATGCTCAGAAAAGCCAGAAATAGAATCCTGGAAAGGTTTTACACCTCACAGTGGCATTTGCCTCCTGAGCCTCTCAAACCACACTCCCACAGGACTCTCCAACTGGGACAGCAGCAATGGCTCCTGGAGAAATCCTCTCCTGCCCCTGATAAGGGTCTTACAATTCCCAATAAAGGCACCGATTTTGCCTCCAGCTTTTACCAAGCTTTTTATGGCCCTGGCTGCTTAAAATAATTAGGAGAGATAAATTCAGGGCAAAAAGACTTGCACAGTGTGACACAAGGGAGGGAGTATTGACTGAATCAGATTAAATCCTCCTTTAGACTGGTGAACAAAACACTTCCCACTTCAGATCTTTAACTTGCACCTCTCAGCTTCGTCCCTCACTGATGGAGCTCAAAGACCAGAGCTTGGAGAAATGACAAAACACACTTCCTGCCCCATTTACAGTTAACACCACTCACAATTACAGTTCCCAGTGCAGGAAATTCAGATCCAGCAGCAGAAAAATACACAAAATTAACATCTCCATAAAACCAGCATCTCTGTGAAGAGCCTTAAACCCCGAGCTAGACTGAAGGTCTAAGAAGAACAAATTACCCAGAAACTCTTCTTACTCAGCCATCTGAGTGCTCCCAATCTGTTCCTGTGTGCACCAGGCTCCCAGGCTGAGCTGTCTGTCGCCTCCAGCAATGACTCCAGTGCAGACAACATTAAGCTGGACTGTCCAAATCACTCTCTGCCAAGCCAGTGAGGATGCCAGGAGGGGGAACTGCAGCCTGCAAATGCTTAACTTACAAGACAATCTGTGTGGTGCCAGGGAGCTCAATCCCAGGCTGAATTATCTCTGCTGCTCCCTGCAGCTGCAGGAATGCTCCATATTCACATCCAGGACGTTTCTCCCAACCAGCCCAGCATCAGGCAACCGTAATGTTCAATTTTCTTTTCAGCCAAGAGTTAGTGCTCAGCAGAGAGTTGGAATCATTACTGCTGCAAGGTCCGGGAGCTCTCCTCATGCATCTACCAATCAGCCTCCAATCTCCCCTGACAAAAGGATATTTGGACTTTTTCCTGGAGAAATCTCTCATAACTCAAGGTAACGACGCTGCTGCCGCTCCCAGCCCCTGCGTGTCTGCGGGTGCTGTCGCCGTTTGTGGGATGCATTTCTTTGTGGGCAATCAGCAGAGCTGCCAGCCTCCCTGCTCCCCCTGGAACACAGCTCCACACATCTTGTAGAGATGCCAGATTTGCAGCGTTGTCTTGTCAGTGTTTCCAGGAGTTCAATAAACATTTTAATTAAAGGAATATCCTCCGAGCCAAGGCAGCCCCAGCACGGGGCAGGATGACAGCCCCTCCCTGGCTCCTGGCCAGCAGGACTCTGCTTCCAAGGGTGAAAGCTCCAGCCAGCTCCTGTGCCAGGTGACAGGGAGTGGGGACATGGCACAGCCACACACAGGTGCCTGGAGCTGCGTTCCTGGGGGAGTTTCTTTCTCCAGCTGCCACAAAGCTGCTACTTCACCTTCTGGGAGGCTGCCCAAGTCCAGACTGTGCCTACAAAAGGTGAGAGAGTGGGCAGAATTCCCTGCAGGAATTGCCCAGTTCAGTGCTTAGGGAAGTGGCAGCCACTGCAGATTCCTCTGCTCCTGCTCCACAGCCAGCACCTCCTGCCCCCTCCCAGGTGTGCCCCAACTGCTCTCAGGGGTGGCTGCAAAGCCCAGCTTTGTATCCAGACCATGCCCAGCTTTGTATCCAGACCATGCCCAGCTTTACATCCAGTCCATGCCCAGCTTTGTATCCAGACCATGCCCAGCTTTGCATCCAGACCATGCCCAGCAACAGCCCCTGGTGGCTCTTCCCAGACCAGACATTCCTGGTTTTTAAGGGGAAACGTGGCACAGCTCTCCATGAGCAGGCAGAGCAAACACCTCCAGGGCTCTCCCTCAGCTTGGGGTTCAGAAAATCCACACCTGGGGCTCCAGCACAGATCAAAACACAGAACACAAAGCAAACACCACCCTGTGACTGCCCTGGCACCAAAAGTGCCCCCCAGACCCTCCTCAGCTGCTGAGCTCTGAGTGCATCCACAGACTGCTCCTGCTGGGAGCTCCCTCAGCTCCCCCTGTTCCTCCCAGTCCCTGCTTCATTCACAGCCACACCATTCCAGGATTCCCTCTCAGCTTTTCTTTTCCAGACCTGGAACAAGCCCTGGAGTGAAGCATCCCCCCCAGCTCTGGGAATGGCTGTACCTATCACTACAATGAGGGGTTTGTCCCACCGGAATTCCGAGCAGCTGATGACAGGAACACCTTCCACATCCTCGGGCCTGCTGGCTGTTCCCACCACTTCCCAGCCTTCTGCACTTTTAGCCTAGAAAAGGAAAGAAATCAAGAATTGCCAAATACTCAAGCTTAAAAAAAACCTCATGTGTGCAAGCACTCTTATTTTTTACATTTTCAGTTAAGCTGTCTAGGGGTATTTTTTGGCATGCCTTCAGTTTTTACCTGCAAAGGGCTCCCTCTCACACCTCACTGCATAGGGAGAAAAGATTCCCAGCAGCTCCCCCTCCCCAGCCCTGGCTCCTCCTCTATTCCCTGCTCCAAAGGCTGCCCAATGCTGCCATCGTGTGCCTGGGCCCCGGGATGCTGCTCTGCCACGCACCCCGAGCAGAAGGGACACAAACCCCGGCATCCCCAGAGCTGCAGGATTACCCTGGTACCTCCAAGCTCCCAGAAAAAGCAGCCACCCTCTCCCCCTACCCGATGGAGTGGGGCTGGGGGTGTCCCAGCACAGACACTGCATGTCATACCCACAGTGTTTCAGTTTTCCTGAAAAAAAGGGGGAAAAAAAAATTGAAATGGCTCACTGTACCTTCAGAAAGCCCTGCAGATCATCTGTGCTGTACACATCGAAGACCTCCATGGCTCCAGCACTGGCTTTGCTCACTATGGGAGTCAAGGGGCAGCTGCAAGGGGAAAAGAACGGAAAAGTGTCACACGAGAGGAAGTGCAGGTGAATTTTTTAGATCCCACTCACTATAGGGATATGTTTTCCTATGGAGAATAGGAGGGCTCAGGGATTAACCCAGGAAACAGGTCACAGGAGGGACAACAGAAACACAAAATGGGTTAAGCAAGGAGAGTCCAGGGAGAGCCTGGAATCCCACAGGCTGCCTGCCGAGCAGCAGCATCCCAAATCCTGCTCTAGAGATCAGCCCCAGACATCCCCCTAAACAACAGCTGAGTGATGCAGGCTGCAAACACGTCTGGGAGGAAAAGGGGGCTGGAGGAGCCCATACTTTCTGTGGCCCATGCCTGTTTCTGTGGCCCATACCTGTTTGTGTGTCTCGTACCTGTTTCTGTGGCTTGTACCTGCTGCTGTGGGTTGTTACCTGTTGCTGTGTCTCATTACCTGTTTCTGTGGCTCATTATCTGTTCCTGTGTCTCATTACCTGTTTCTGTCGCTCGTTACCTGTTTCTGTGGCTCATACCTGTTTTTGTGACCCATTATCTGTTTCTGTGGCCCATACCTGTTTGTTTCTGGGGCCCATACCTGTTTCTGTGTCTCATTACCTGTTTGTGTGGCTGGTTACCTTTTTCTGTGACCCGTTACCTGTTTCTGTGCCCCATACCTGTTTCTGTGGCTCGTTACCTGTTTCTGTGGCCCATACCTGTTGCTGTGACCCATTACCTGTTGCTGTGACCCGTTACCTGTTCCTGTGGCCCATACCTGTTTCTGTGTCTCATTACCTGTTTCTGTGTCCCATACCTGTTTCTGTGTCCCATACCTGTTTCTGTGACCCGTTACCTGTTTCTGTGGCCCGTACCTTTTTCTGTGGCCCGTACCTGTTGCTGTGGGTCGCCACCACTCTGTCCACCCCCAGGAAGTACGCGGAGCGCAGCAGGGCCCCCAGGTTCATGGGATCCTGGATGTGCTCCAGCACCAGCCACAGCAGCTGCCGGTCCCCGCTCTCTCCGTCCCCCGGCCGCGGCTCCTCAGCGTCCCGCAGGCTCCGGAAGGGCAGCGGGGCGGCCTCCAGACACACTCCTTGGTGGGGCCGGCCCCGGCACAGCGTGTCCAGCGCCCGGCCCGGGACGTGCAGCACGGGCACCCCGCGGGCCGCGGCCTGCAGGGCGAGCTCGGCCCTCAGGGGCCGCCCGGGGCCGTCGCGCTGCTCCTTCAGGAACAGCCGGAACAGCGCCCTGCGCGCCCGGGCCAGCGCCAGCCAGCACGGGGCCACCCCGAACACGATCTCCGAGCCTTTGGTCCTCTCCAGGGCCGGCGCCTTTCGCTCCAGCCCCTTCCCCGTGCGGGCCCGGGGCGAGTCCTGCTGTGCCCGCCACAGCTCCCGCCCAGTGCGCGACCCCCGCACGGCCCCCGAAGCCTCCGGGGGATCGCGGTCTCGGGGCGCTCCTTGCTCAGCCCCGCGGCTGGAGCGGAACCGGAGCCCGGCCCGGCACAGCCGCACGGCCCGCGGGCACAGGAGGGGCAGCAGCGCCCGCTCCATGGCGTGGGGGGAAACAGCCAGCCCCGCTCCGCAGCCCGGGCACGGACGGGGCTCGAGGGGATCCCGGCGGGGCACCGGAGCACCGGGCACGCGCACAGAGCACCGGACACGCGCACGGAGGCGCGGGCACGCGCGCGGGCCCCGCTCCGCTTCCGGCGGCCCCGGCACGCCCCGCGCGGCAGCGCCCCCTGGCGGCCGGCGGGGATAACGGGAACGGAGCATCCCTGAGCAACGGGAACCGCAGTGAGCCCGGACAGACCCTGGGAATGGGAACGGAGCATCCCTGAGCAACGGGAACGGGAACGGAGCATCTCTGAGCAACGGGAACCGCAGTGAGCCCGGACAGACCCTGGGAATGGGAACGGAGCATCCCAGAGCCCCCGGGCACATCCCGGGTACCCAGACAGACCCCAGGAACAGGGAACCCCAGTGACACCGGGAACAGGGAACCGCAGTGACCCCGGCTACCGGGAACAGCCCAGGAACGGAGCACCCCAGAGCTGTCCCCAGGCAGACACCCACAGGTCACCCCCAACACAACTGGATGCTGTCCAGCTCTGGAAAGAAATTCTGTTTTTCCCCATAAAGACCCCAAAGGGAAGGATTCTGTTTGGATCGTTCCCCAAACAAAACTCTGGGCGTGAACAACAAAAAGGCCGTTCAGGTTTAACACAAAAATAACAAAATACACCACAGACGAGCCACGGCGTGCCTCTCTTTTTATTCTTTATTTTACAGTTCACAATAGAAACCTACTGATAAATTACACAGGTCACTGATCCTGGCGTTTGAGGGGTTTCACTGCCTCGGAGTGGGGTCCCATCTCATCCCAGGAAGGTGGCAGGAGGTGCCACCAAGGCCACCCGAGGAGCCCTCCTTATGGGGGAGGTTAACAGGCAGCAGGGACGATCCCCTAAAACCACACCTCAAATGGAAAAATATACTGCACATCACCCTGAGGTGACTTTAGAGACTTACAAATGTTCTTGTGGGAAAAGAAAAAACAACTTGCAGGGCTGCCAGGTTCTATTTGCAGGGAGCAAGTACCTGGACAAACCCTTTGTCAAGGTTCTGCATCTTCAGCAATTCTCTCCAAATCCTCCTTTTACAGGACAGGGAGATGTAAAGGCCCTCCTAAGCCACACATTTCAACATCTGTGAACTTTGCACACAGCTGCTGCCACCATTCCATGTTTCACCACCACTGCCCACATCCCTGCTCAGAAGCTCCTAATTTCTCTATTTTTACTTTTTTTTTTTTGGCCTCTTTAGTAGTTCAACCACCTTCTCCTAAAGATGGCACGCAGGGCACCTGCTGGGAATGCACACACAGGCACCACCCTGGCATCCTGGAGCAGAGCAGTGCCAGGCTTCCCAAGGGGCAGGGATTTCACTCACAATAATTTAAAAAAGCCAAATCCAGGTGCACTTGTCAGTAAAAACTGGTGAATGGACAGAACACACCACGTGTTAATAAAGGGAAAAAAAGGGGCAAATTGCCTTTTGTTTTTGCTATCATGAAAGGAACGTTTTACCAGTTTTCTCCTTGTATCCCCTTACAGCTGCTCACCTTTGGCACAAGGAATTCTAGGTATCACAAGGTTTAATTCATAACAATACTTCAATATCAACACTCAGCACTTACACAGCGCCTGTCAAAGTGCTTTACAAAAGCTTGTGAGTCCTCACAACACCCCTGTGAGGTAGGTGAGTGTTATTATCCCCATTTTCCAGATGGGGAAACTGAGGCAGAGAGGTAAAGTGACGTGCCCAAGGCTGTGCAGGGAGCTGAACTCGTGTCTTGGTGGCCCAGCTCTGCTCTCCCTGTGCAGGGCTGACACAGATGAACAAACTCCCAGGGCTCTCCTGCTGTAAGCCAAACAATCCAACCCCAATTTCCCAGCTCTCTGTCCATCCCTGACCTCCTGGAGCCCAGCAGGAGCTGGACAGGGTCTGCACTCTTAAGGCAACGTGCCCAGGAGCTCCCTGGAGAGCTGGGCACACACAGAGCACCCTGCAGAGAGTCTCCAGACAGCTCCAGCTCTGCTTTGGGGCCAATTCTCTCCTCCCTCAACTCAGAGTAAACCCAGAGCCAAACACTGGGGCTGCACCAGCACGAGATCTCAGCCAGACCCTTCCCCTGCTGCTTTCTGTGGCCAAAATGCCCCTGCAAATCCCTCCTCGTTCCAGACACCTTCGGCACAGCTCGTTCCACTCTATCTCTCTCTCTCTCTCTCTCAGAGTTTGTGTCTCTACATAAAAATAAACTTCCACCATTTCCAGCTCCTCAGCACCAGCATTTCAACAGCACCAGAGCAATCCACGTTTCCAGAAAAGTGTCAATGCATGCAAATATCACACACAGAACATCGAGAGTGCTGGGAGATGATAGCAAGGATAGAGGTGGTCACAAGACAGCACACGTTTAGTTTTTATTAAAAATACCAAACAACTCACTCTTACTGTAACTATGCCACTTAGATTATCATCCTAACCTGCACAGGGACAGGTGCTTTTCCTCCAACTATTTACCTACCTAGAAAAAAAGAGAAATATCAAGCACACACATTTATACTTCCTCAAACTTGGCAGGCATGAACCATGTGAAGGGGAAAGGGGCTGGGGGAGGTTGTACAGTGGGGTTAGGGCAGTGGAGTACAAAATAAATGGAAAATATCACATGCATCACCACCATCAGTAATCAACCTGATGAAAATAAACTCAGAGTATTAGATGGATTCATGTATGGTGTCCACTGAAAATCTCAAACCCTAAGCACGCTGAAGCTGGCAAACATCTTGTGCCACTTCACCTAGGTCCACACACAGCATCAGCAACTAAGATCAAACAGACCTTGAAAAGAAAGCAAAGTGAAGAATAAACCAGCCTGGAGACAAACAATCTTCCA